CAGTGCCATGTCCATGCCCGGGATTCGAACCAACGAAACACTGGGCTGCCTGCAGCGGAGCACGCGAACTTAACCACTCGGCCACGGGGCCAGCCCCATTATCCAGAGTTTTAGATATGACCCATCTCCTCCCCTGCAAAAAAGATCATACATTCCTAAAAGTAAGACAAGAAGGCTAAACCTCTGTTTAATTTGTGTTTCAAGAATTTCATATGGCCTCAAATTATTTAAAGACAAACAAAAGATATTAAAATTGTGTTTTAAATAAGCAAGGACTTTGTGGAAGCAAATTTTCTTTCTAATATTTTAAGAGCACTGGAATATTTATCCAACTAATCTTCTTTAAAGATGTAATGCTCTTACAGAAGAAAGAACACAAAGGTGCTCAATAATAAATTTCTAAATTTAGTCCTGAGTCATTCAGACATTGATGTAATCAAATTTATCAGAAAACAAATTTTTTCCAGGCCACCTACTTAATTTCTGTAGACAGGATGATAATTTCCGAAGACAGGAACTGATCATGCTAGTGAATAAAGAAAAAATTTTTGGCATACTAAAGCACTATATAAGCTGAGGTTCTTGAACAAGAGCAGCTTGTCAACTATGGTGCATTTAAGTACAGGAAAGATTGATGTTTGCCAAATGTCAAATCAGAGAGAAGAAAAATGTTTTCAAGCTTAGGGGATTGCCAACAATGAAAGGGAAAATAAATAAAATTTAGATGCACAATATTGTTATACCTTGTCAAGGAAATGTTAATTGAAGTCAGGCCTCCTTTTTGAAAACATAACGTAAAATTTCTACCAAAAGACTACTCGAAAGTCTGACAATGAACGCAAAAGTGGAATTTTAAAAGGTATAAAGTGATGGCTGACATTAACAAAAATTATGCTGTTGGATTACCAAAATACCATACCCTAGATTTTATTGTCAATCATCTCCTACCGATTAATTAATATAGTCGGTTATGTTCTAAGAGAAGGCTAAGAGTTTTGAAAAATATCGACAGGAACCATGTGGGATTCCATCATGGATTCAATAGTTAAAATATGCAGGTTTCTGTTTGTTTCTTCTGCACTATCAGGTTTATGACATTTATTTGGTAGCTAGATGTTGTTTTGAATGTGCAATGATTTGAGTTATTAAAATACAGCTCGCTTATGATCCGTGTTAAGAACATGCAGCGCATTCAAATAACTAGGTAACATTAGGCCTTTCATCTCAGAGCAGTATGTTTCATTTCCCTAGGGTTGGGACTAAATTGAGATTTTGTATTCATCTGAAGTAATTGTAATGAGAATATTTAACACGGGTCAAATGGAGAATAGTGGCACCCTGGAAGTGCTTAGAAATAATTTGCTTTTTTTGTACTTTGTTCCACAATGGGATTGAAAAGGATTACCACGCCTTGTTTAACGATGTTATATTGTTCTATTTGTGAATCTAATGAAATCTTTGGCAGAAAAGAGCACAAACTGCTCAAATGAATTTCATAAAATAAGAAGGCATCTGAATCAAATAATTATACTTTTGGAACACAGGAGATACTGTTAACAAATCTTTACCCACAGAAAATCAGAGAGAGAGATATATATATTTTAAAAACCTCTTAATGTTTCCTTTTTATTCCCATAATGGAAAGTGGGGAAAAAATTGTATTTTATTTGCCCACAGACATGGGAAAGAATTACCCAGCAGAGCTTTGTACCTACAACAGATTTTTCCAGACTCCTTTCACCTCGAAGCAGTCTTTTTATTTGAGCACCATAAGTGATTTTCCATCTTTTTCACTGAAGTGCTCAGGTATATTAGCACCACTCTCCCTCTCAGGACATTGACTGTGTTAAAGCCAAGAGGAAATAAATTATTTCTTTGTGCTGGTCGTTTGTGACTGCTAAACTGGATCAGACTGTGAGTAAAACCTGGCCTGTCACTGAATGGCCAGCTACTGAAAACCACGTAAAAATTATATTAGAGTGGATGATATCACATGATCTTAGCAGAAGTTTCTTTGCAAAAGAATGCAGATTTTGATAAAATTCACTGAGCTCTAAATGATATGCAGAAACTGTTTTATCACTAAAACATACCCAGTGATCGCTCAAGGCTAGATTACTCTGTCTCAGAAGAATATGATAAGTTGGGTCAATATAACAGGCTAAAATAATACAACGTTTTCTATGACAATTACAGGCTTTTGCCCTAAGTGGAAATGTATTTATGTTGAGCACATCCAGTTGGGAAACTTGTTTGAACGTTCCTGATAAATCCAGCAATTACTTCAGGAAAGGAAGAAGTGTGCCTTACCCAAGAATTATTAAAGAAGGGCAATCTTCCATTTGGTAAACTCCCTGTGGAAACATGGAACTTCTCCTGTATGACCACCATCCTTGGTCTTCCCGATAGCACTAGGAGTAAATATATTAATACCGCCAGGAATCATTCTTTATGCCTGATGAAGGCCTTTCAAATATGCCTAGAAAACAGCCACTATATTGTACGTAGCACGGACAGCCCACATCGGTATCTGGAACAAGGCAAAGATGCCTAACAATAGCACTACAATTTAAGATTATTGTGGAAGTTCTAGCAATTAGTAAGGCAATGAACCGATATAAGATTTATTAGAAAAAAGGAGAGCAAATTTTCATTTTCGTGAAATGCATAATCACATACAATATAATTTTGATCAAACATACCTAAAATAGCCCAGGGCTTACTCATCCGGTTTCAGAAGTATATGATAAATTGGAATAATGAGAAGGTACTAACATAATATGACTTTTTGTAATTCATTTTCGGACTCCTCCCTTGAGTAAATGTATTTTTATGTTGAGCACGTTCTAACATGGAGAAACCCAAATGAATCAACTGGAAAACTACTTGAACTAAACAGATTTAATTAAGATGCAGGATATGAAATAAATAATATATTTTTAAATTTTCCATCCATCAATAATATCTTGATTTAGAGATAGGGAAAAGGGAAAATAGATTCATGGTAATAATCACAATTACAAAATATCTGGTAATATTCTTAATAAGAATTGCATAAGACTTCTGTCTAGAAGGAATTACAAAGCTTTGCTAAGCAACATACAAGAAGACAAATGTCAAGAATTATGCTTCTGAATGGGAATATTGTAAAGATGGCAATTAATGTACAGGTGTTTAACATGAGCACATCAGTGAACATTCTAGTGGGGTTATTTTAGGAACATGAAGAACTTATTCTAAAATAGTTAGGATTCAGAGTAGCAGAGGACAATTTTTAAAATATTAGTAATGAGAAACATGATCTATTAAATATGAAAATATTTTCTAGCACTGCAATACATATTTAAAATGGTATGACTGCAGCCAGGATCTACACACAGATCAGTAAAATGGAACAGATTAACATAAAATGAACCCTAGCACTTTTATGAACCAAATATGACAAAAGTTCCTAATAATGTAGATTAGATTGTAGATAATAATTATGCAGATAGATTATTCAGTGAATGATAGTAAAAGGTTTGGCTAGAATTTGGGGAGAAAGAAAGAGTGATACGATGGAATTCAGACACTAAATATAATTTTTGAAGAATTTTAATTACATGGAAATGCTCATAAAATAGAAAAAATATGAAAACATTCATACACTATGAGCCTAGGCTTATAAACTATATGTGTGTGTGTCTGCAAGGAATTATACCAAAATGACATAAATGGTAAAAAAAAAAAGAAAGAAAAAAAGGGAGGGGGAATGTTGCTATGAATGCAGGTGATGTTAATTTTCTTTTCTATACTTTTTTGTAATTCCCAGCTTTTTCCTTCAATTTTGGTATATTACCTAATCAGGAAAAGAAAAGCTTTGTCTTCGGTTTTTAAAGTAGGAGTCATGTTATCCAAGTCCGTAACAAATATTATATATTTCCTAGCATAAAATACTTACAGACATCCTTCAAGAAGATACAGTTGTGTTCTTGCTGTTTTTAGTCTCTAAAATTGAAAGACTTTTATTTTCTTTTCCTTTTGTGATGTACAATTAGAATAAGAAATATAAGCAGGGAGCATACAACAATGCCCACCATATGTTTCCAACACCCAGCATAATGCCTGACACATAGTAGGCATACAATAAATATTTGACTAAAGAAATAACTAATTCATCAATACAAAAATCCCTATATCCCCAAAATATTAATGAACTGTTTCTTTCAAATAATCTTTTTTATGTTAGGCATTTTTTTAGGATACAGTCTAACCAAAAAATGCCAGTCCTGGGGCTGGCCCTGTGGCCGAGTGGTTAAGTTCACGCGCCCTGCTGCAAGCGGCCCAGTGTTTCGTTGGTTCGAATCCTGGGTGCGCACATGGCACTGCTCATCAAGCCACTCTGAGGCAGCGTCCCACATGCCACAACTAGAAGGACCCACAACGAAGAATATACAACTATGTACTGGGGGGCTTTGGGGAGAAAAAGGAAAAGATAAAATCTTTAAAAAAAAAAAAAGCCAATCCTTTGATTATCTAGTATCTAATTTGTAGTAATTAAAAATTTTCCTTTTTCATTTAACCTAAGTGTCGTATAGTAGACTAGGCAAGAATTGAGAAGACCAAAGAAAAATCTTACCACTTTCTGTTTTGCCATGCTAGCCCGAGAATTCTGTAATACTCCTAGAGAACTTTTGGTTTGGAAACCTAACTCCTCTCTTAAAGTATAACACCACGCCATGTATTATTCCAAACCTATCTCCTCTATTCTTTCTCTCTCTGTTTTCTAGAGAATCTCTGGGCATTTGGCATAGGTTCTCCATTTCTTGGGATCTAACATTTCTTTTGGGGAGCCAAGGCTTCTCCCATGGGAGAAACCACTCTACTTCACCTTTCCTTTGAAGAGCTCAGCTTTCAATTCCTAGGGAACCATTTGGCATTAAAACAGCTCCCTGGAATGTACATTGAAGTGACATCACAATGTTGGATCATTACTTTCTCCAAGTCCTGGTTCCCTCATCTTGAGATATGTATTTTTCTTCTCTTTCTTCTATTGTGTACCCGCTCTCCTCATGGCCCTGTTCTGCTCAGAGAGGCTCTCCTTTGCCAGTGTCATTTGTATTCAGCCATTGTGCTGAATTACATTCAGACATTGTGTTGTAAGTGAATTTCTCTATTTTTTATGACACAATGACTCTCCAAACAAAAGCTCGGTAATTTGTCATCCATGATTTACATAAAAAAATAAAAAAATAATGCAAAAAAATTCATCTAGAGGTCAAGAAACTTGAGTTCTTAGTCCTTATTGTTTTTCTCTCAGCCACAAGTTACAATGAATTTCTTAAAAAATATTTTAATATTATCTTCTGTCTCAACCAATGTTCTGTCTCAACCATTTATTGAATTCTTACTAATTTCCTGACATTGTGCCAGGTATTTATTTGGGATATAAAAATAATTCAGAGATAGTTCTCATCTCCATGGTACAAGTTGCATTGCTTTCTTCCTGAAACTGTGAGGGAGACAATTATTCTATAACTGAGATGTTGAATCCTGATTTCTGACTGAGCTTCCTAGGCAAAGATTTTTAAAACTGGAGCATTAAATTTTGATATATCATTCTATCAAAAGGATAACAAATTATTTTTAAAATAATTTCTATATTTAAAAATATTTAAAGTGTTATTTTATTAGAATGCCTCTATATTTTTATAATCTCTTCCTGGTTGTCCTTAAGGTAGTGTACTACCTATATTCAACTTCTAAGAATTACTTTTGAGCAGGCAACTTTCTTCCATGACAACTTTTCGAATAAAGATTTGTGATCCTGCATGTTTGCTATTACTTTCAAAACATAGGAAAGTGCACCTTTGATATCCTTCAAGAAAAACTTAACACATTTCATATTTGTTCACCTGAAGAAATTGCTTTTAAAAGAAAGAATAGCCAGATGGCTTCCCAAGAGGGATAGCGCTTCCTGACTTGCACTTGACTCAAAGGGTATAAGAAGTGAATAATTTTACATGCAAGTTTCTTGGTTTGCTTACAACTTTCTGCTAAGACTTCAGAGACCTTTAAGCAAAGGATTCCACCAATTACATTTGTTGTATGTGTATGTGTGTGTACATTTTTTTCAGAAAGCATATGTTAGTAGGGCTATTAAGCAATTAGCTTCATGCATATAGATAGTTCATTTTGCACCAAACCATATGATGTGATTGGAATTTATAGAAAACCATCTTTCTTGCCAGGAATTGAAGCGAGTTAATTCTCTAGTTTGGAGAAATGTGGTCTTATGGCTGCAATCTGTACCCTTAAAAATTAGGAGCCTAGTATTCTCCATTTGATAGCTTAGAAAAGTACATAAAATATAAAAGTTTTCCCTTTATTAAACACAGAAATTGGAAAAAGAAAACCCAGGTAGAGTACCTGACTCATATTGTATGCTCACTAAATGTTTGTTAACTTACAATAAAGTGAAACGAGCAGGGGTTGAGATATAAAACATGTGCCATGAGGTCTTCTGTCCTTGTCAAATTTGGCTCTGAGCTTTCTAGCAGTCTATGCGAAAAGAGAAATGCAGTCAGCAGAAGAATCTGTCATGTCAATGAGATAAAAACAAACTGGCTGCTCAGGAGAAGCCCAGCTATTTCTAGAGAGTTAATAACCATTTGCAGAATGAAGGAATGATGCTGAAATCTGAGAAAAATCTCTCCACTTGCATTTTTAGGAGGTCACTTGGCTCTTCACCATCTTCAAAGCAAACAGCAGAGCACTTCCCGTAGCCATTTCTCAGATCAGTGCGCAAGAGCAGTTCAGGAAAACCACTTTTATGGGAGTGAAACACCGCCCCTGCCTGATAATGTGCCTTAATTCAAAAAATATCCTGAAATATCTAGAACTCCTGAAGTAGAGATAGATCGATTACACACACTTCAGGCATGTATGCATTTTCCATGTGTAAAATAAGATTCATTGCTGCCTTTTGAAGCTTTAGTTGCACTTTACAAAAGGAATGTGTAACCGTCTTGTCTCATTTTTATAGCAGTCATATCCCTGGCCACAACCATTAATCAATTTCTTTTTCTCTTTTAGGGGGTGGAGATTAAACCAAAAATCCATGGAATGTCTCCTACAGGATGTAAAATTCTACATGATTGGCCTTGTGTAAATATTAAGCAAAACCAGTAAATCAAAATTATCAGATTAACATATTTTAGCAAGCAGCATCCATATGAAAGGAAATGTTGACATTCTTTATGAAAGCTGCTTTTTCCCTTTACTGCTGCCATTTTTATTGTGGATTTCCCTGTTCAGCACTTAGTTCCAATTTTTTAAATGATCCATTTCAACACCAGACAGCAATATTCTTCCAGTCATATGAGTTTTTGGTTGCATTTTATTACATTAAAGATTGCAAAGCTCTACTGTGAATTACAGTATTAACATTCCTTGTATTTTGGAGGACTATGTTCACAAGAATTATTATGACTGGGTCCAGGGATTCTTTGTTTGGGCCTTTGAAGAGAGAAGTCCAATGCACTTTAACCTTTGGTGGTAACTAAGTTATAAGTTCATTGTATAATTTCAAAAAATTTAAAGTACAAAAACAATGGATAACTCATTTAAGAATCCCAAAGAGATGTTGGATTTAAAGGAGGTACGCAGTTGAAGATGGTAATACTTTCAAGTAATAATCAATTTACCTGAAAATAGTTTCCCAGAACTTTGCTTATAACTTAGTTGCTTGAACTCAAAATGCAGTTTTCTTAGAAACAATGCTATAAATTCAAGTCCATCCAATGGATGCTTAAGTGCCAATGCTATCTCCACCCTTTAGAACTTGCTTGCTGGTGGTGTGGAAAAAAAGGCAAGGACACAAATAACTTGGCAAACCTCTTTTCAACACATTGTCAAGTGCCTTATAAAGCAAGCTCAGACATGGCAGAAAGCCACCATCAAATTTCAGAGTCAAAGAATGCATAAATTGTTACAAATTTATTCTAAAGATCAACTACCCAGAATTTGGGAGGTTTGTGCTAATATTTTACTCTCAACGCCTTGTCATTTCTTCTTCTCCCAGCATAAGTACCTCACTATCCACTGCCTCCTCAAAAACGGTTGGGGCAGGGGGCAGGCCGGGTGGCGCAGCAGTTAAGTTCGCACGTTCTGCTACGGCGGTGGCCCGGGGTTCACCAGCCTGGATCCCTGGGGCAAACTATGCACCGTGTGTCAAGCCATGCTGTGGCAGGCGTCCCACATATAAAGTAGAGGAAGATGGGCACAGACGTTAAGTCAGGTGCAGCCTTCCTCAGCAAAAGGAGGAGGATTGGCAGCAGATGTTAGCTCAGGGTTAATCTTCCTCAAAAAAAAAAAAAAAAAAAAAAAACGGATGGGGCAGGTAGAAAGCTGTTTCTGCTAAAGAGTATTTGGAACTTTACTGGATTTAAGAACTTCACCCTTTTTACTAAGCTTAGAATCTCTACCAAGGATGCCCCATCACTTAAGTAAATGATTAATATTGATCTGAAAATGACAAATTGCCAAAGCTTTAGGGATTTTTATCTCTTCACTAGAACTGGCAGAGTTTCTGACACTATAATCTATTTTCGCTTGTGATAATCTTATTTTCTGATCTATTTAGCATAGCACAGTATTCTTGTTAATGTTTTGAGAATTGTTTTTACTGTTTTACCTTAAAGTTCATGTTTGCATTTAGAGACCAGTTTTTTTCTTCCTGTGGATCCCATTATAAACGTGATTGAGAACCCTACTCTATTAAATGAAGAATACCTCATGGTGTCAATAGTTACATTTCTCTCAGGTCTCCCAATCAAACTGATATTTAAAACATTTAACATCTACTACAGCACCCACTGCTGGTCCACCAGCCTGCTCACACTTCCAGATTCTTCTGTCTCTCCCTGGCTCCCTCAGAACCAGAGTCCCATGGAGACTGAAGTTCCCACACCTACAAAAGGGACAAGGGGCAGCCAGTCTGCAGGGCTCCCTGTGGGAGCCACTAACAGCACCCAGGAGGCAAGGATTTGAGAGACTGACTGGCACGGGCATCAGCTAGTCAGAGTTAGAGCAGGTTTCTGGAATCCTGGACATTCGCCCTTTAGTTGCTATGCCAAGCACATCCTGGGTGAGAAGCCAGTGTGGCCAGGGTACTTTTACCAACCTATAGGGGAGTTTTTAAATATTTTGTTAATCTCTGGAGCCTTACCTGTAAATACTGGCTGAGTATCAAACCTGTACACAACCCATCATAAGAAACTGGATGTATAGACTCAAGGCAGTTGTGTGGGGATAAGAGGACATTTTAGCCTCTTTAGCTTTCCTTGTTTCCCTTGCTTGAATCTGACCTTCTTCTGCTTTGAATGTGGGTTCAATGCCTGAAAAACTTTTGGTGTCTGTTTACCCAAACTTTTGACTTTTTCCTTCTAAGCCTCAGTTTCCTCTTCCGTAAAATGGTTATATTAATAGTGTTTCAACATACTGTGGCTGTGAAGTTTAAATGAAATAATACAAGTGAAACCCTTAAGTTTGCACTGGCCATTAGCGACTTTTCACAAGATCTGAAATTAATGGGTTTTATGATCCTATATGCAGGTACATAAATGGTGGGTACGTTTGACTACATGAACACATGCTGGGCATTGTGTTAGAACAAAAGGATGACCAGAAAAATAGGTTACTGTTGGATATGAGAAATTTTCATGCTTTCAAACACTATAGGGCTATTGTGTGTTTTGACGACTTGAAGAATTCTGGGGTTGCAGGGGCTAATGTCAGCTTGTGGCTTCTGGGCTTTTATTCCTAATGAGGAGGAGGTATTTTCACTCTCTAGAAAGAAGGAGATCCTTTGTCAAGCTTCAGGTCTCCCTGTACTCATCATATATTATCTTTTCCTTTGACTTTTGCTCAAAACCAGGGAATAGAGCATATCTTAAAAGCACCAGTGTCAGGAAACCCCAGGCTCTTTCATTTCTGGGCAACATGAATAAGAAGACTGTCATAAAGGACATGGAACCTTAGGAGGAAATAAATAAAAATGAATCCTAGAGGGCAGCATAAAAAAGTGTATAGGAAAACTCTGCTAACAAGTAAATGAGTATTTTTAACAAGGTTTTCTTGTCATCCTCTTTGACTGGCATCAGAGTCTTCACTTGAACTGTGTCATATTAGGTGCTCTGAGCAAAAGTCAATTATAATCTAGACTCCTGATGAAGACTAAACATCAAAATGAGAGTATGAAGAAAGCGTGTGGCTCGCCATTTGCTGAGAGCTCCTTTGAACCATGTCTATTTGTTTCCTGTTTCTTCTTGGTGTTTTATCATATTCACAATATGCTTTGTTTGTGTTTTGATTTCCCTTCTTGAAAGTCTTATTCACAAATGCGTGTCATTGTTCTAGTCACATACTGGTTTAACATTGACTAATTACTTAACCTTTCTTGATGTTTTCTTCATTATCCATGAGGTGGAAAAAAATTCCTCAGATGCATTTTGAAAACTCCCAGCTAATTCTCTAGCTGTGATTTCTAAACCAAAACTGTTTGCATTCTTCTAACCCTAAAATTTCTTAGTCTGAAAAATATGTATATGATAATGGTCCTTCTTTGAAGAGTCTTATTTAAAACACTTTCCTCGTATTCTTTTCATGAAACCACCTGCATCACTGCCAAAGAACCACTGCCATGACCGTCTAGATTAATAAGTGAAAGCCAAAAATAAAAGGGAGAGAAAAATGTGAAGCTGAATTTATATGAGAGAAATTGTTAAATAATAATTGCAGAAGTTAAATAGTATCCAAATATTATTAATTCTTAGGTTTACATGTCTGTTGATATTATTTTCTTTGTTAAATGAAAAATCCCTGTTCTTTTTAATAAAATTGGGATCATTTAACAAAACCAAATATAGTGAGGGTCCCAAATTCTCTGTCTTTGCATTGTTCTTAGAAATGGGAGATTTCAATAATGTTATTTTATGCAAATATTTTACTATTCAGATATTAATCATAGATATTATGTTTATTTTTTCAACACATGCATTATATTTGTCCTTGTTATTAATATTAATTTTGAGATGGAAGATAAGAATTTAGTGTTATAAATGTGTGAAGCATTTTCTTTGATCTAGTAGAACTTTTCATATTAGTCAAAATAGCATATATCATTTTGAGGTATGAGCATTAACTTACATCTTTGTCTCCTTCTCCTCTTCCCGATTGGCAGTTTCTGGAAAGCAGCAACCTTGCCTGCCTTATATTCATTCCTATGTTTGTCACATAGGTTCTTGGCATGATGCCCGGCATGTATGGGTGCTCAATAAATGCTCTGTGAATAAACAAATCAATGATATTGATGTTACAGATGTATACAAATTGTGTAGGATTGCTATAAATATTTAAATTCAGTAGCCTTATAGAATAGTGTCAATTAATTATCTGTATCTTAGTATACGTCAAGAAGCAGCAAAGAACTCTATAAAGATCAATACTCAAGCTCACTCCCAAGGAAGTTATATGGCCCATCCTAAGCAGCAAAAAGAATATGGTCACTGAAGGCCTTTCCTAAACCTTGGAGTGGAACTAACAGTTGTTCATACCTGGGGGAAATGATAGTTAAACTTGAGAGTAATTGTCAACAGGGAAATAGAGCTGTTCTGCTTTCAAATGGGACTACCACCTAAAGAGAGGCAAGTCACAACCAAAGGGTAGGGTGGAATGAAGAGTGAACTAATTATTATGATCTCTACTTTGTACCAGCCACTGTACCAGGAGCTTTACGTGTTGCTTCCTGTAGTTCTCACAATAGCCCTGAGAGTTAGGTAATATTATTCCCTTTTATTAATGAGGAAACAGATTTCTCACAGCTATCAAGTAGGGTCCTGGGATTTAAATGGGCTGTATGATCCACAACCCATTCTTTTGCATCATAGCAGAGAACATGATTGTGTTTCATCCCCGTCCTAAATCCTTTCTAGAATAAGGGAGGGCATAAATCAATTATACAAATTATTCCCACTAGCTTTGTCAGAAGTCACATCCATCCCAGCAGTGGGAAGAGTGAGTGTCCAGGAGGGACTCCCTAGTGGAAGAGCACAGATTTTGACTTAAGATGAACTTTGATCTCTGTGCTGCCTCTTAGTGATCTTGTGCAAGTTACTTAACCATGCTAATCTTTAATTATATCATTTATGAAATGAAAACGTTCATAGAATTTCAAAATGACAAGTACAATTGCTTAAGCAGAGAAGGCCTTCAAAAATGGTGGTTGGTTGATCACCATTTAGGTAGAATGATGCTTCATTCTTCTTCCTGGGGATGCTTCTTATAGAAGGACTTGGCTATTAGAGTGGAAGAGAAAAGGAAAAAGGATTGTCTCCAGGTGGGGCTTAGTTGATTTTATGACAAGGGGATATACCTCAAGGTATGGGTCAGTTTGATGTAAACTGCCTTTGACACACAATGAAATACAGCTTATTACATTGAATTTACATTTTTGCTTGTTATTTGCTTCATTAAAAAGTGATTGATGACACATCTTGAAATTCATCAAAATTTTGAACAAACTATGTTTGGGAAAAATATTATAAAGATACCGTCAAGGAATTTGAAAATATAATATACTGTAAATCATAGTCAATGCTGCAAAGTACAATGGAGAAGTCAAAACAAGGAGAGATAATACCAGGTTTAAAAGATAATTCCAGCTTTGAGGTTTTCCTGGGTCTTAAATCATAGCATGCACTCTCAGAAGCTAAAGGAATGTGTGAAAAATGGAGAAAGGGAAATTAAGACAAATACCTTTGTTGTACAAACATGAGAATAGTGATAGAAAAACTCAAGTGTAGCATGAACTGAAACTGGTGACAATACTAAAATATTTAATCATGACAAGCCATTTAAATGCAGCTTTTAGAGTAAAAATTAGAGCAAAGAAGTGATCATCTCCTTGCTTGAGAAGCTGCTGTGAAGTTAAAAGCTGAAGGAAAAGGATGTCATTGTCCACATCCTATTCTGTTTCTATGCTCTCCAGCCATGACAGTGATCTTCAGATTGGTAAATCAGAACAATAAAGACCCTAATAAGAATAGCACTTTGTTATTAACACCAGGCTTTCAATGCTTCTTCAAATCTCCTGAAATCAGAGCGGACAGAAATCATGAATTCCAATTCTAACTAGTGAAAAGGAGAACTGTGTCCTTGCCACACCTTTCTTTTAAACTTTTAATTAAATTATCTTGTATGACTACTCCTTCAATCATAAAATATAATAAATCAAAAATCATAATAAAAGAAGCAGATCCATTAAACAGCTGGATAACCCGAGTATTTATTGCCCTCTCCCCCAAAAAAGCAGCTAGACATAAACATTAGACACTAATGAAATTTAAACCATTGCATCTGGCAGCTATCCCCCAACTTATAGATGGATACCACTAAGCAATTCCGTCCAGTTCATTTTTAGCAGATATATCAAGCATTCAGCTATTGGCAGTACATTTGCAACTCAACCAGGCTAAATCATTCAGAATGGAATCCTACTCAAAATTAGAACATAATGTAAGAGTGTCCTGTAGTGGGAAGAACACAGGCTTTAGACAGACTTGGGTTTGTATGCAGGATCTCCAAGTTATTAGCTGTGTATTATAAAATGAGGATAATGGTACCCACCTGTCAGTTATCATGGTAAGTCAATGCAGTGATACATTTGGGGAAACTGATATTTACTGAGCACCTATTTAATCAGGTAGCTACTATTTAATCTTCTAGGAAATTTAATAAGGTAGATATTATAGTACCAGACTTTGAACCCAAGTTTTAGTCAAAATTTCATGTGGCTTCCACACCACATAATGAGATGCCTGTCATGGTACCTAGCACAAAGCAGGCCCTCAATTACTGAACTGAAGAAACAGCTTGACTATAGTGGAAGTGACCAAATCATCAAACTTATTCTTTACTTTTTAGGCCAAAATCATCTTTTATGCATTATAAATGAAGATTTCTGATATCTTAACTAATAACTTAGGCATAGGACCTATAGTTAAGGTATTGATTGAAAAAGTTATTTAAATCAGTAAATCATTAAGAAATAAACTACACATGGCCTAAAACACTTTACTTTAAACAAATAAGTGTACGTTAATGCACTGATCTTTTGGTGTAGGCCTTAAACCTTGTCTTGGCATATCTTGTCCAAGTTGCATATTATCTTTCTTGCGTAAGTCTTACTCACAATGCATTATCTATAATTTCTGTTTTCCTTTTTCTATAAAGAGGAGCAAAAACTTAAAGACACTTATGAAATAATCTGAGTGCAGAATATTTCTAGATTTTAACAACTTTTCCAATCTTTTACACCTAAATTGACAGGATTTTTTTTATTGTGCTAAAAAACACATAACATGAGATCTACCCTCTTAACAGATGTACATTACAGTATTGTTAAATATGAGCGCCATGTTTTACATCAGATCTCTAGAACTTTTTCATCTTGCTTGACTGACACTTTGTACCCATTGAACAGCAACTTCCCACTTCCTCCTCCCCCTAGTCCCTGGGAACCACTATTCTGTTTTCTGCTTTGATGAGTTTGAATACTCTAGGTACCTCATATAAGTGGAATCATGCAGTATTTGTCATTCTGTGACTTGCTTATTTCACTTAGCATGATGTCCTTAAGATTCATCCATACTGTAGCATATGACAGAATTTCCTTCTTTTCTAAGGCTGAATAATACTCCATTGTATGTGTACACCATGTTTTCTTTACCTGTTAGTCTGTCGATGAACATTTAGGTTGTTGTCACCTTTTGGCTATTGTGAACAATGCTACAATGAACATGAAAATGCAGGTATGTCTTTGAGATCCTGATTTCAATTTTTTTGGATAAATATCCCAAAGTAGGATTTCTGATCATATGGTACTTATTCGTTTAATTTTTTGAAGAACCCTCATACAGTTCTCCATAGCAACTGCACAATTTTATATTCCCGCCAACAGTGAAAAAGGGTTCTAATTTCTCTATATCCTCACCAACACTGACAGCATGTTTTTAATAACAGCTGACTTTTGTAAAGCCTATCCAAAATACTCAACTGAAGTTTTATAGAAACAACTCTACTTTGTCTCACATTCATATTCCATAGGATTAAAAGTACATAATGTCAATAACAATTCCAGCCAAGCATATTCCAAGCAAGAATGGAATAATGACAACTGATAATTTGTAAATGCACCACTCAACTGAGAGGAGCAGAGTGGTGGGAATTCTAGAGAAGAGCTAGCTGCCTAAATTATTCTTCCTGCCATGAGTACCAGTGAATGTCTTTATAGAGAGAGTAGAAAGGTCTACATATGTGGAAATGAGCTGAGAGCTCCTCCTCCTTGAAATGAAAGAATTGGACAATATGACCTCTGAGTTCACTTCGAGACCAAAATAGGCCTTTGCGGTGGACTAAAAATCATAAAGCTGGATTAGAAATTCAAGTCAGGGTCAGATATTTAATAATCCCTTGAGGATTTTAATTGAGTGTACAGATTTCACACCTTGTACACTGCCTCCTCCCTGGATTTTCTCTGAAGATAGAAAGGAATTGGTACAGGCTTTCTTCTAGTTTAAGAGGTTGCACCTCTATTTTAAAGCTGGGGCTTCTAAAATGTATTGTGGGTATGGTTTGTGGCTAGACCAGGCATCCAGAGACATGGACTCAAGTGCTAACTCTGCTTCTGACTGGTGGGCAAGGCAGACCTGTCTAGAACTCAGTTTCCCTTCTACAAAATGAGAGGATTGAACAGATAATGACTGGCTTTGTCCAATCCCGCATTTTTATAATTCTATGATCTTTAATACTTTCTGCACTCAGAACTTTTCATGTGAAAGTTGTCATTTATATGGGAGCAGTTACTACCTGAAAGGTTCATCTCTATTTGCGACTCTACCTTCTGGGCAATAATCGGCCTGACATTTTTTACTAAAGAACAACTCTATTCCTTGTAGCTACATACCAGGCTGCTCTGTCACCTAATGTCAGAGTCCTCCACCGTTAATTCCAGATTGCTCTAGGCTCTGCTTCAATAGGAATTTAAAGCATTTCTCTGCCCTCTCTGTTTGGAAATATCACACTTCAGAACACTGTCCTCCAGTTTGTTGAGTATCCTGCTGTTGTCTCTTCCTCACACGTGACCAGTCAGCAGAACTGTGTGTTGATGAGCATCTCTTCAATCCTGGTGGTCTGGCTGCTTTCATGGACTTCGTAGTTATTGCTCTTTTCTTGTCGCTTGATTTTCAATTAGGGTGACAGGTAACCCAGATGAAATTATCCCAAAAGGTAGATACAATGTGAGCAATTGTCCATGTTTTATAGACCTACAGAATAGTAGAGAGCACTATTTTTTGAGTCACTTGTTGTGGATTGGGTTTTTCTGCCCCATTAGAGCAGTATTTTCTGTGCATTTTTCTACATATTTATCTTCTCTTTCAGTTCAATTCTATTACTCTTAGTCAATTTCTAAGGAAACCTAAAAGCAGAATCCCCTGGAAGTTTTCAGTTCCATGCTTCC